GGAGATTGGGGGAGGCCAGAGCAGGGGCCAGACCACGAGGCCTTCTGGCTGGGAAGCAGGTCCCCTGGCCAGACACGTTATCCGGGACCCTGGGTGGCAGGTCAGACCGCGGTGCTGGCTGAGGCCCCTCAGGCAGGAAAGGCAGGCCCAGGCCCAGAATGTGTCCATTCTACGGGAGGGCACCACAGTCCTGTCCCTTTGAGGGCTGCCAGGGTGTGTGGTCTCCGTCTGGGCCACGAGCCCGACGGCTCCCAGAGTCCCGCCCCCCAGGAACGGTGAGACATGAGTGGGTATTGTCGTGGGCTGCAACACGCGGGGCTGTTTGTTACGCAGCCACAGGAACCGATACAGTTGGGAAGATTCGATGGTGGAGCCCGGGGTGCGGGTGGCTGGAGGGCAGGGGGAGGGTAGGGCAGAGGCTGGGCAGGTCTGAGTCATTGCCCAGGCCCTGCGTGGTCAGGACGCCGTTGCCAGCAGGGCCAGCTCCTGAGCCACAGGCGCCTGCCTTTGCGCCCCCCCCATAGGCCAGGCGGCCACGCCCTGGGGCACGGAGGCTCTCAGCTGAGAGCAGTCGGGAGGCAGAGCGGCTGAAACAGAGGGGGCGAGTCCCCGAAAGAGAAGCGGGCAGGAGGAGGGCAGGCAGGCCCCAGACGAGGTCATCCCCCCGGGGTTGGTAGCTAGTGGCGTTCCTGCTGCCACGGGAGGAGCCAAGCTCATGCCCGGAGGAGGAGGTCCTCCCTCCGCACCCAGCACCTCCTTCTCCGGGGCCCCGTCCGGCACCTCTGTTCCTGCCCATATGGGACAGGCCCCCGGAGAGCGCGGAGAGGAGTGCAGCCTCCTCCCCTGGGTCCCTGTCACCCTGTCGCCCCTGCTGCCCGGGACCCAGGCAGGGCGCTGACCACACTTGCCAGCCCCCGGAGCCCTCCTGGCTACAGGAAGCCGCTCCCATTCCCTCCTGTGCACCCCCACCCCGGGCTTCCAAGAGCCCCAAGCAAGAGGCGCCCTAGGCGTGGGGCGGAAAGGCAGCTCGCAGGAGTTCTGGGGGAGCTCCTCGGGTCTGAGACGGGGTGCCGGCCGAAATGAAGCTCATGGCTCACCTGGGCTGGAACCAGACAGAAGGAGGGTGGGGGAAGGAGATGGGCCTCTTGCAGCCGGGGCCACCATGAGACCCAGGGCACCCGCCACGTGGCAATCCTGTGAGCAGAGCCCCGGGGGGACCCCCGAGCGGGGAATTTCCCCCCGAATAAGGAAGTGTGTGCAGGGACACAAGGAGAGGAGGTGGTGGCCAGCCGAAGGCGCGGCGTGCTGGGGCCGTGACCTGGCTCATGGCAACACCTGCCCGAAGCAGCGGGTTCCTTTCTTCTTGGATGTTTCTCTGGGTCACGTCCTTCCGCTCCCTCCCATCACCCACCTCGGGCAGGTGGCTCCGGCCCGTAGTCCAGGCCTTGCAGAGCCAGCCGCAGCGTTGGATTCGGGGTGGCACGTAGGGCCATGTCAGGCCAATCCCCCAACACGCACCTGAGTCACTGGGGAGAAGCTTGCTTCCTGCTGCACTGGAGCGGCAGGGCGCAGGCCTGGAGGGTAACAGCATCCGGCGGGCAACTGAAGGCTGGAGGGCGGGAGAGCAGGGCCGGGCCGACAGCGAAGCCACTCCCCTCGGCTTCTCCGACGACGCATGAACCAGTGTTTCATTTCGGTTTTTTTTTTTTATGATTTTATTTATTTATTCATGAGAGACACACAGAGAGAGGCAGAGACACGGCAGAGGGAGAAGCAGGCTCCCTGGGGGGACACTCGATTCCGGGACCCCAAGGTCACCCCTGGGGAGGTGCCCTAGGCCTAGGCCAAGGCGGACGCCAACCACCGAGCCCCCCAGGCGCCCTCATTCCTGGTCTCAGCAAGTCTGTGCTGCGTTTGTGAGTCGGTGCTCACTCCGGGAAGCAAAAGGGCACCAGTGTGGTGAAATCTGAAACTCACGGCCCTGCACACCCGGTGCAGGGAGCTAGGGATGGGGAAATCCAGGGGGAGCTGGGGAAATGCAGGCAGGGCGCGGAGGGGGCGCCGGGAGGGAGCTGCGGGGCGGCTGGGCCTGGGCACCCTCTCCTCTCCGTGGAAAGCCCGGCCTCTTCAGAGCCCCGCTGGGAGTTGGCGACAGGGTGCTGGTGGCGGCAGGGCTGCTGTCGGGGCGGAGGACGCGCCTCGTGGGGAGGGCCCTGTGCCCGCAAGCCCCCCCTTCTGCGTCCACCTCTCCCCATCTCTGCCCGGGGCACCCTTCACTGCTCCTCTTCCACCTTCCCAAAGGCACGTGAGCTTGTCTTGGGGTCAAATCCTGCCCAGAGCGACACGGGGAGGGGGATCCTGGGAACGCACAGCAAACAACCCAGACCACATTTCTACTTGCCAGGCAAGGATCCCTCACCTTACGAGTGTCACCTGAGTCACCGGGGCCTTCACCTGGTCCGCACCCCAGCCCCCTCCTGAGGGGCAGAGGCTGCGAGAGAGGCCCCTGGAGGCCAGAGAGCTCACCTGTCTCCCCTTCCCCTGCGTGGGTGCCTGATAGCGGCTGGGCCTCACGCTCCTGCAGCTGAGAGGAGATCTCTCCTGCCAGAGCCCCAGGCGGCCTGGACTCGGGGACCAGTGGCTCCCGTCCCCAGTGACTGGTGCAGGGAAACCCGCACACCCAGAGCCTGAGGCCTCCACCCACTCCAGGCAGACCTGCAGGGCCTCCCCGCTCCTTATCCCGTCACCCCCGTCACCTACAGAGAACCCTCCAGGCGCGGCCCTGCGGCCGAGAGCTGGGGTCTGCGCCTGCGCCGCTGCCCTACCTGGCACGGCACACGCCCCACCTGGACCAGTCCCTTTGTCCTGCGAGGAGGCGAGGAGGCAGTCGGGCCGGCCCAGCCGGGTGGGGTCAAGCGGGGCCGGCAACCCCGGAGCCCCCTCGCCGGCAGCCACGACATACAGCGCCTGTCACACGCCTGCTCAGTCCTCCCCAGAACCAATTCCGGCAGACGTTTGCTTCAGTCCAGCAGCGGGGCCCTTATCCACACCTGGGGCAGACTCTCTGGATGCTTCTGCCGCCACCTGTTGGCCCAGCCCGCTCTTCACAGCTCCTGGCAGCCCGTGCTTCGTCCCTGTCACCTGACGTGGCTCCCAAGTGGGGACGGCCAGAAGCCCTCCGCAAGGTCCCCCACCCGCAGGGACGCTGGGCTCCGGGGACTGCATCTCTCGCAGGCCGGGCCTGCTGGTTCATCATCCTCTGCCTGCTTGAAGGCTCAGGAAGGCCTCTGCGCCCCGCTCCTGCACGACCCACCCTGAGCGCCCTCCCTCGTTCCCGCCTCCCGGAGCTCCTGCAGTGCCCCTGCAGCCCGCGACCCGGACCTGCCCTTTCTGCGACTGCAGGATTCCAGCATGAGACCGGGGGTGGGGTGGGGGGGTGGGGGGGGTCCTGCCCGGAGACCTGGACACGTCCCGGGGCTGCTGCTACGCCCGTGTCTGGTGGGAGCTCTGACCGGCTCGCACCGTCGGGGAGGCTTCTTCCTCTCTGTTGCCTGAGGAGGCTCACGCTCCATTTTGCGGGGAGAGCTCGGGGGCAAGGATCTGGCCTATGAACCACCCGTCGCCCCCCGCGGCCCTGCAAAATCCAGCACAAGGACACAACCCCAAGCAGCAGCAACCGTAAACTACTAGGAGAAGGCTTTCCTCTTTGAAGAATCCCCACGCCGACCGACCGTAACACAAGTGGCAGGGGTGGGGGGTGGGGCGGGGGACCCCGTAGCACAGATCTGCTCTCTCCCGCTGCCCCTCCACGGGGCCCTTGTCCCAGCACGTCCTCCACCAGTCACGGGGGCCCCTGGGCTTCAGATGTCGCTGCGGCGCTCGGGGAAAGCGACCCGCCTGACCTCTGCTCAAGGAACAGTTATCCTGCCGCCTCGTAACACGGTAAGGGAGGCTTTATTCAAGTTTACTGCAATAGGGGAGAGAGCACAGGTGGCTTCGCGGCCAAGGAGCAGAGTGGGGAGACCAGCGGGTGGAAACGTGCTGAGACGTCTCCGGGGGGCTGCTGCTCACGGGGAGGGCAGGCCAAGACCAGGTCCTACTTGGGGGATGCAGAACGTCATCAGGTAACGGGGGTGACCGCACATCAGGGTGGGGGTGAGCCAGCAGGCTTGGTGGAGACCGGGCGGCCAGGCCAGGGCAGGACAGGGTCCTCGAGGAGAGGACGTCTCAGAGCAGGACGACTCAAGGCGGTCTCGTCACCTCCACCAGCTCGGAGATGCCAAGCGCAGGTGGACGGGTCCTGACCCCTGCTAACCTGTGGTTTCGATGAGCTTCATACTCGAAAGGGCCCCCTTCCCTTAAATGCTCATGTGGGGGGGGGGGGGCGGGGATCCACTGCCCTAGGACTCTCCCTGATTTCCTGTTCCAACGGTTTAAATCACAGTGATTCAGGGGACGCAAGGAACTGTCACCTCGATGCTCCAGGCTCAGGTGCTCCAGGATGGGGGGCTTGGGGACTGGGGGCCACAGGGTTGGGGGCTCGAGCCATCAGGGACCTGGGGCCTCAAGGGCTGGGGGCTTGGAGCCCCGAAGGATCAGGGGCTGGGGGCTGGAGGGCTCTAAGGACCGGGGGCTGGAGGCTGGGGGCTCGGAGGCTCTAAGGATCAGGGCTGGGGGTCAGGGGCTCTAAGGGCTGGGGGCTCGGGGGCTCTAAGGTCCAGGGATGGGGGCTCGGGGGCCGGGGGCTGAGGGATCGGGGGGAGGGGGGGGTCGGTCGGGTCCTCTCCGGGTCGCAGCAGAACTGCGTCACCCGGGCACCCCCTCACCGCACATGCGCAGGTCTGGGCGCGCAGCCCGAGGGGCGGGGCTAGGGCGGCCGGGGCGGGGCCATCGCTCCTGGCGGCCTCACTGCGCTCGCGCCGCCCCGCCTCCTCGCGGGGAGACCAATGGGCTCGCGGGACACGCCCCTGACGACGGGCCCCGCCCCCTGGAGACGGGCCGCCGCGGCGCGCAGCTGCACCCGGCCAGCGGCTGCGGTCGGGGCCAGGCGGGGCGGGGCGGGGTCCCGGGCGGCCCTGCGCCATGAAGCTGACTCGGAAGATGGTCCTGTCCCGGGCCAAGGCCTCGGAGCTGCACAGCGTCCGGAAGCTCAACTGCTGGTGGGTGTCCAGGGGCCGGGGTCGTCCTCGCACGGTCCCCCCCGCCCAGCACCGGGGTCCCGGGAGGAGAGGGGACGGGAGGGGGGGACCCGGGAGGAGGGGACCCGGGAGGGGAGGGGAGGGGACGGGAGGGGGGGACCCGGGAGGAGGGGACCCGGGAGGGGAGGGGACGGGAGGGGGGACCCGGGAGGGGAGGGGACGGGAGGGGGGACCCGGGAGGAGGGGACCCGGGAGGGGAGGGGACGGGAGGGGGGGACTCGGGAGGAGAGGACCCGGGAAGGGAGGGGACCCGGGAGGAGAGGGGACGGGAGGGGGGGACCCAGGAGGAGAGGGGACGGGAGGGGGGGACCCGGGAGGGGAGGTGATGGGAGGGGAGGACCCAGGAGGAGGGGGGACGGGAGGGGGGGGACCCGGGAGGAGGGGACCCGGGAGGGGAGGGGACCCGGGAGGGGAGGGGACGGGAGGGGGGGACCCGGGAGGGGAGGGGACGGGAGGGGGGGACCCGGGAGGGGAGGGGACGGGAGGGGGGGACCCGGGAGGAGGGGACCCGGGAGGGGAGGGGACGGGAGGGGGGGACCCGGGAGGAGGGGACCCAGGAGGAGGGGACGGGAGTGGGGGACCCAGGAGGGGAGGAGACTCAGGAGGAGCAGGCCCAGGAGGAGGGGACTGGACCGAGAGGCCCCCCACACCTCTGCTCCAGCCGGGGAGCAGGGAGCACCTGCGGAGGAGCCACCGCAGTCGGGGTGGAGGGGAGCAGGTGCGGCCACAAGCCCGGGGGCCACTGCCACAGACCATTCCGGAATTGTTACTCCTCTGGGTGGTGGTGTTTCAGACGCAGGCTCCAAACTGCTCCCTTTGCTGGAAACCGCCGAGGTCTCCCCGTCGGCCTCCTGGATAGCTCCTTCTGGAAGGGCCTGAGTCGGACATGGCCGGACATGGCCAGCCGTAGGGAGCCAAGTCTCCCAAGCAGGGGGATGGAGGTGACTAACACCGTCCAGTGGGGAAGTAGAGGCTGAGTCCAGAGTAACCAGGCGGTAGACGTTTCTGTAACTGAGTCCTGTTGGGGAGGTGCTGTCCCCAGGAGCCCCGCTCTGGGAGGAGACAGGACCGGATGGAGGAGCTGTGGGGTCACTGCAGGTGCACACGTCTGGCTGGGCCAGGGGAGGACTTCAGGAACTCCGGGACGATCTGCAGGTGTTCCCTGGGGGCTCAGGGCAAGCCCTGTAGATGGGTCGGTGGAGGTGGGCCGTGGGGAGCTCAGCCCTCCTCCCAGGACCTCCCCCCAGGCCGCATCGGCATGTTGACTGCGGGGAGCTCGGCCCTGTCACTTGTTCCCCTAAGGCCCCTCTGTTTGGCATGAGGTGGCCAGGCTGCGTCTGAGCAGGGAGAGACAAGGGCCTGCTTGAGGCTTTCCAGCCTTTGTTTCGAGAGCTGCCTGGACGTGGCCCCTGACAAGGACTTGCTTGTTCACTGCATCAGTGGGGGACGTTGTCCAGCCTTGCCCCGGCCTGGAGAGTCAGTGCATCTTTGTGTCCTCCAAGTGGAGCGGCCCTGCGGCTCCTCAGTCTGAGAAGCACCCCTCAAGCCCCGAGCACAGAGACTTTTGTTGGAAACAACCACGCAGCAGTGTTTGACACCTTTGTCAGTCCTCTGGACGGGCTAGGCTGGCCCTGACCTCGTCGTTGACATCGTAGGATTTCAGTTTATAGGCACCTGTCATTAACTTTTGGGATTTCTGTTTCTAATTTTTTTTTCCTCAACTTTCACAAAATTAAAGTACATGTGTCTTTTCTTTCCCTAGGGGCAGCCGCCTCACAGACGTAAGTATTATGCGGAACATCTCCAAATGCTCTCTGGTCCCAAAAGTGGAATCCTGTCCCCCAAGAGGACCGTTAAATTTGCTGAACTGCATGCACTCAGTTCAACCCCAAATCTGGTACTTTGTGTTTATTTAGTATAACTTTCCGCTAATTGTTTCACGATTTTCGTAATGTGGGATGACTAATGAAAAAGCTATTTCATGCGTCCTGGTTTATTTTGACGTTCCTTTAAGAATTCTCCCGTTGATGAAAGGCTTCACATCCCAGGTCTCAGGGAGCGGATCCCAAGTCGGCTGGGGAGGGATGCTGGGGGCCTGCGTTGCTCACAGGAGACGTGCGCTCTGCTGGGAGGCCTTTTCCTCGGGTTCCTGGGCTGCGTGTCACCGAGGACGTTGCTCAACTCAGCTCCTGCTCTTAATGGGATCCAGTGTTGTGCTCCCCACCCCCCGGGCCATGGCGGGAAAGGATGGGGCCCAGAGTGGGGGTCGGGGAACAGCACCCCGAGCTGAGCTGGGGGTCTGTGAACAGATTTCTTCCCCTTTCTCTCTGAGAATGAGCGTCCCTGACTTAACACAGGGATCATACTGTGTAAGAAAAGGTCATACGTCTTTTCTTTCTTTCCTACTTTTCTAACTTGAACTAAACCTTCACTTGGAAACAGAGTCAGAGATGCAGCTGAGACCCTGGGCTATCCAGGAACGCTGATTCCACCTCACGCTACAGCTGAAATGCAGCATATCCAGCTGCCGAAAACAATCCTAAAAAACAAAATTACCACCATAGCAGAAAACAAGCCCATGGTGCATGCGATGCGTCCGAGCAGCCCATGAGCCTGTTGGGGTCAAGGGCCTCGTGTGGCCCGGTGCTGGCGTGTGGCAGACCCTGTACCGCCCGTCGGCCACACAGTTGGAGTTCGTCATGGGCCAAGCCGAGCACCGGTTGCTCTTTCCCCTGAGTTGATGCTGTTAACACGGTAATGAGAGCCGGTCCCAATCCTGTCTCCCTTTTGGCCCCGCTCCGTTGGCCAAGCCCTCCCTGTGTCTCAGGGACGGCAGAAGAAAGGTTCTCGGTCCAGCGGAGGGGCCACAGAGGTCCCCTTACGTGATGTCTTCTGAGGGCGCCGAAGGGCAGGGCTTCGGGCAGTGTTTGGTGGCGGCGATGCTGTTACGACATCCCAGAGCGAGCGCGCGTCCCCGGGGTTGAGGGAGCCCGAGCAGATGCAGCGTGCGGAGTCTGGTGCAGAGCCTGCGGCCCCGTGTCCCGTGCAGCCCCACTGAGGCGAGGGCGCTCCGCCTGGGCCGTGGGGGCGGGGCCCACCGGGCGCCACGCGTGTCTGCGCTGGGCTCGCAGGAGCGCCCGGCCGTGCCCCACCCGCTTCCTTCCCTCCCTAGGTCTCCATCTGCCGGGAGATGCCCAGCCTGGAAGTGATCACCCTCAGGTACTGCGCCCGCTGTGCTGAGTCACGGGGCTCGGAGAAAAGGGGGATGTTCAGATCCCCTTAGGTCACCTGAAAACTCCCGACAAGAGTGTGTCTGGGGGGGCCCCTGCGAGCTCTGCCTGCCCGCGCGGACGGGTCCCTGGCTAACCCCCTCGAGCTCGCCCTGCTGTGTCCCGGCCCACCCTCGCTGCGATCGTGGGTGCAGCCCCCACATGAGCAGCCCTGTCAAGGCGGCCACGTCTGCCCCCAGCGCCCCCGCCGTTCTCTGCCCTCCGGTTCTGGCGCCACCAGGAGCTCTGCTGGTCTCTGCCCCACGCGGTCCCTCGATGGCAGCTGCCCCTCTGGAGGCATTGGCATCTCAGGCAAACCGGGGATGAACCAGACGCTGCCGATGGGATTTTTGGCAGCTGGGCGCTTTGGAGGGTTGGGGGTAGGCGGGGAGCATCGTCCTCTGCCCCTGAACTCCCTCCTGCCCGCTCGGGACCCAGGGAGGGATGCCGGCTCTCGCACCTTGGGCAAGGCTCAGATCTCTGGGCCTCAGTTTCCCTATCTGTAACACGGACATAGTACCGGCACCTGCCCTGTGGGGCAGCGAGGACTGGGTGCCGGCAGAAAACGGAGCGCTTAGCGAGCATGCGTGCACCGGTGTCGCCGTGTCGCTGACTTGCTAGGATTATCGGTGAAGTGGAGACCTGAGCCCACACCCCAGAAAGCCTTCCCTGACGATTAAACGGATTGCCTTTCATTCCTGAAAATAGGCGAGCCCCGAACCCTGGCCCTGCCCCGCCCGAGTGATGTGGGGCACGTTGCCGGCCCTCCTGAGCTGCAGCGTCGCTCAGGCTCGTGGCTCAGGACGGACGGGAGGCCCGGGGGTGTTGGCCGAGCTCAGGTGCCCGGTGCCCGCGCGGCTGCGTTGGAACCCGAGTGTAAACCGCTGCGTGAACGCGGGATGCCCGACCTTCACTGGGGTGCAGTCCCGTCCCTTTGGTCTCGGAGCCTCGTGTTGAGGCTGCCGTAACAGTCCCGCACACCGGGCGGCCCGTGGACGACAGACGGGTCTCAGCCCCTGAGCTGCACATCTGAGATGAAGGTGGCATTTGCCGTGTCGGGGGGACCCGCGTCCTGGTTCACGGACAGCCCTCCTGCTGGGTCTGCGTGGGCGGGACGGGCATGGGAGCTCCGGGGGCTCTTCCATGAGGGCTCCCCGAACCCCGTCACCTTGGCCGTTAGGTTTCAGGGTATGAATCTGGGGGGACACGAATACTCAGGGCAAGCACGGTTAGCCCCGTGGTCCAGCAGGAGGATGGCAGGCTGGGGTGCGGGTTCAGATGTTCACGTGGCGCCCTGGCCTGTGCCTGGGACAGCTTCCTCAGGCTTAGAGACGGCGAAGCCGGAGTCCTGCTCTGGGCGCCGTGGCGTCAGCTCTCAGTAAAGCCGAGCGCCCCGCTCCCCACCGGCGACTCCCTTAACAAGTGGGGGGCCCACTGCGGTGCTGCGGCTCCGGGAGGAATTAGGACTTCCTGCCAGACAAATGCAGCCCCCAGCAGAGAATGTTCTCGGTGGGCGTGGCCGCAGCCGTGGAGGGCGCTCCCGGCCTGCGTCGCCCCCCCAGGCACCTGCCCTCTGCTCCTGTGGAGCTGGGAGGGTTTCTGCTCGTGTCCGCGGAGGCCTGCGGGGTCTCAGCCTGGAGCCCACACGATTCCGTCTCTGACGTGTTCACAAGTCCGAGGAGCAAAACTGAAGCGCACGTACTTCGTCCCCTCCTGGGGCTCGGGCTTGGGAAGTCGGGGCTCGGTTCTTGCAGCCTGGGGCTTGCTCGTGTTTGCTGTGGGTTTTTCTGGCCGCCGCCTGCTGTGGGGCGCAGAGACGTCCTGTGAGGGAGGGTGAGCCCCCCGCCTCCCCGTTGACCCCGTGAGGCCTGGACCGAGCAGGAGGCCGGGGCCTTGCTCGCTGCTGCTCATGTGTCCAGTTCGGGGACTTCCCGTCCTCGCGGTTTGTCCTTGGCCCGGGGTCTTTGTCGACCTTGACTCCTGCCGTCCGGCTCTGACCCCCTTCCCAGGAGAGGGCAGGTGGGCTCCGTCCTGGTGTTTGCAGTTGACACGAGGGGCTCGGTGTGTGTGCGGGGGGGACGCCCTCCGCGAGCGGGGCGCCGACCGTGCTGTCCCCTGCAGCGTCAACAGCGTCTCCTCCCTGGAGCCCGTGAGCCAGTGCCAGCAGCTGAGCGAGCTCTACCTGCGGAAGAACCGCATCCCCAGCCTGGCGGAGCTCTTCTACCTGAAGGGCCTGCCGCGCCTGCGCGTGCTGTGGCTGGCGGAGAACCCGTGCTGCGGCACCGACCCCCACCGCTACCGCATGACCGTCCTGCGCAACCTGCCACACCTGCAGAAGCTGGACAACCAGAGTAGGTGCCTGCTGCGCCCCACAGCCCGACGGGGAGTCCCTTCCTCTCCTCTGCCCTTCCGGCACCTTCCAGGAGCCGGCAGGTGCCCCCTCCCTGTGGGCTCCTCGGGGGGCGTCCCCCAGGCTGCTGCCCCTCAATTCGCAAGTGTGAGTGGGGAGGGATCACCCGGGGCAGCCCAGGCAGACGCAGGATCACGAGGGCCTCGTCACCCTCCACCCGCCTGCTCCTGTCGTTCCTTCTGCTCCTTCCCTGCTCAGAACACTTGCCTGGGGCCCCGGGGAGCCCGTGAGAGGGTCCGGCTGGGCTGGCAGAGTCCCTGCTGGAGGCCGGCGGGCGCCTCCCCGCGGCGCCGATCGCTCCTTCTCCGCCTGTCCTCCAGGGCCTGCATTCGGAGGCCCCTGGCACCACCGTGCTGGGCCCTGACCCTCGACACACACGCACACTTTCCCCCCAGGTAGACAGCTGCCGCGTAGGTTAGCTCAGGGACCGCCGTCCGCGCGGGAGTGCAGCAGACCGTGGGCCGTGTGGTCTGTTCCTTTTGACTATAATTTGGCTCTTCACGGACGCTTGTCTGGAGCAAGTGCTGAACTTGAGATTCACGTCCAGCCGGTGCCAGGGTGGGGCGGTGACAGGCAGGACCCGGCTGCTCTCAAGGAGCTGGCCGGCGGGGTGGACCGACGGACCCCGCTTGTCTAGAGCAGACCGTGGCCGGCGTGGCCGTGGTGGCGAGCCACAGTCCGGGGGGCTTCTGTGGGGGCGCGTCCGCTCTGATGCTGCAGCTCTTCCCGCTTCACTCTGAAGCCGTGACCGAGGAGGAGCTGTCCCGCGCGTTGATGGAGGGAGAGGAGGTCACGGCCCCCGGCGGAGAGGGCACGGGGAGCGGCCGGCCCGAGATGTCCTACGCCCTGAGCGCCGCGGACGCCGCTGCTGACACCCAGCAGGACACGCTGAGCTATGGCGAGGAGACGAGGTGCCTGGTGGCGGGGGCGGCGGGCCTGCCCCTGGGGCTCCGCGGAGTTGGAGCCGCTCAGGGCCCGGCTGCAGCAGCCTGGCGGTGGGGCGGGTGAAGTGGGCCGGCGGGCGTGGGGCACCCCTGGCCCAGCACTGCCGTCTCCCGGGGGAAGGCCAGGTGGCCGTGGCCAGCCGAGCTGCCGTGCGGCGGGGACGGGGCGGCTGGCCTGCTCACACCCTCGGTCCCTGTCCTTCCTGCAGCGTCCAGGGCCAGCTCGGCCTCAAGTCCCCTTCCCGGGACCGCTTCCCTTCCTTCTCGCACAGGGAAGCCGTGAGCAGTCGCAAGAACAGGGTGAGTGTGATGGGGACAGCACCGGCTGAGGCGGCCACCAGCTCCCTCTGCCCAGAACGTGGGGATGGGGGACGGGGGTGCACGGGCTGAGACACCCAGGGACTCGCAGAGCCAGGCCCCCGGGGGTGGGAAGTGGCTCTGAGCTACACTGGAAGTGACACGCTGGAGGGGGTGTGTGTGCAGCTGAGCTGGCTTCAGTGTGCAGGGGCAGCCCCAGAGGGACAGGAGACCCCCGTCCAGCCCGCGGGCAGCTCCGGGCAGCTCCAGGCAACACGCGGGACCAGGCGGGCCGAGCAGCAGGACGAGCCCTGTCGGGCAGGTTGCTGTGGCGGCACCTAAAGCTGCAGAGGTGCGCTGCTCGCGGGGACGCCTCCCACCTGCAGGGGGACAGACACTCCTGTCCTGGCGGGGCAGTTCTGCGTCACCGTGGCTCCTCAGGGTCCCTGTAAGGAGTAACAGGTTCAGTAACAGGGCTACGGGGGCTGCTCCGTCGAAGGCTCTGGTCCTTTGCACGTGTCTGCCGCCTGTGTCCTTCTGGCTTGTTCTGGGGCTTGTTCCCCTCCTGGTCACGGGCTGGCGCTCTGATCCAGGCTCACACCCAGGAGGACAGGGGCCATTTCTTCCTTGTGTCCTCTCACTGGGGAAGAACGGCTGCCCTGTGTCTTCCTCACCTGGCAACACCGGCTTCATCAGCTGGATTGCTCACGTCCTGAGTGTGAGCCCGTCACCAGCCAGAAGAGCGGGGTCACCACCGTCAGCTTGGCCCAGTGGGGACCTTGCCTCCTCGTCACATGGGAGGGGGGCTGCGTGAGCAGAGCCGGGGTCTGTGAGGAGGTCCGTGACCCCCCAGCTCCTGCTCCCGACTGCCTGGCTGTCCTAGCCCCGCGGGGCCCCAGAGCCATCCGACTGGTGCTCACATGGGAAGGGCTCCATAATCGGGGTGGGGGCTGCCAGCACCCCCTTGAGGACCTGGAAGGGCTTGTGGAAGGCACAGAGGGGTGACCTTAGGCCCCATCCCGGGGAGGGGCCAGCCCGCCCTAGGGGAGAACCGTCCCCCCAGAGCTGCTGACAGCCGTGACTGCAGGCTGGAGGTGATTCTGGGCAGTTGTCACCGTCCTCCGCAAGGTCCGTGCACAGGCCCCCCCAGCACAGAGGAGCCCCCGGAGCAGGCCAGCGTCTGCAGAGCCCCGGAGGGTGCCCCGAGGTGGCACAGGTTCCCCCAGCACAGGAGGAGCCCCCGGAGCAGGCCAGCGTCTGCAGAGCCCCGAGCTTGCACACTGCTCCAGCCCTGTACCTTCCATAAATGAAAACTGAAACCATCAGACCCGCTTGCGCAGCCAGAGCCACTTCTGGGACAGCAGGGAAGGCCCTGGCTCTACTCTGCCCAGGACCTGTGGCCTGTGGCCCCGTCCGCCCCCGGGAGGTCCCGCAAGCCCCAATGGCAGAATGCACAGGGCCAGGGAGGCCAGGGAGGTATAGGGGCGAGGATGGAGCAGGACCCTCGAGGGGTGCCAGGGGTGGGCGGGGGCCCTGTTGCTCAGCCCCGGTGTGGCCCTCGGAGCAGATGTCACCTTGCCACCACGTGCCCCAGCTCACCTCATAAGAGCCAGCCCAAGCGGCCCCCATGTGCAAAACCCTGCTTTGCTCCACTGCAGATAGAAACCACGTGCACATGCCTAGCACACGCGTGTCTGTGTGATCGTGGTGCTGAGCGCTGCCCCGGGCCGCTCCGCCCCTTCCCTCCCGCCTGGGTGACCTCGGCCGGCCCTGCAGGCAGTGCAGCTCTGTGGGGGAGCCTCTGCCCGGGGTTCTCCCGGGGTTTCCTGGGGGGCCGCTCGCCTGGATGTACAGGTCCGCTGGCCTGGTGGCCTCAGCCGGTGCCCCTGTGCCCCCAGAACAACGTGCTGACCGCCATCCTGCTGCTGCTGCGGGAGCTGGACGCCGAGGGGCTGGAGGCCGTGCACCAGACTGTGGTCAGCCGGCTCCAGGCCTTGCAGAAGCAGGAGCAGCAAGAGGACGTGGAGTGACCCTCAGCGCGACCCCGAGCTGCCAGGCCTTCCTCCCGCAACCCCGTGCCCCAGCCCCTGGGAGGTGCGGGGTCACCAATACAGCCATGGCCTCCGCCGGACCCCGCTGAGTCCCAGCCTATGGTCTGTGTCCCAAGAGGCTCAGGACTGCCCGGGAAGGCCACGCCCTCGGTGTGGACGGTGTGGATGGTGCCCTGGCGGAGCAGGAGGGGCAGCAGGCCCCGTGCTGGGTGCCCTCCCCTGAGGGGCGCAGGTGCACGCCAGCCTGCACAGGGGGCCCACCTGGGCTTGGCGCTTCCCGCCGTGGCAGCGCCACCACTGTCCCTAATAAATGTCTTCCCAGAGTCTGACCCGAGCTCGTGTTGCCCCTTTTGGTTCTTGGCCCCAGTTGTGGGTTAGACTCTGCCCGCGGCTGGCGTCCAGAATGATCTGTCCTTAGAGTGGCTTCGCGTCACCAGACCCACCAACCGCCACGGGGCCGGGGCAGGGGAGGCCTGGGGCAGGATCTGGGTGCCACCGTGGGAGAGGCAGTGGGCGGGCGCCAGGGGGGCACCCTGAGACGGCACCTGAGGTGCGTGCTCCCGCGGGGAGAGGCTCAGGCCGGGGGGGTGCCCCCACAGTGGGGGATGCCTCCCTGGCCGGGAGCAACCAGGCGATCTTGCTGACTCCCTCTGCCCCACTCCGGCTGGGGGACACCCAGATCTCTGAACGTGTCCGTCTCTGTGCGAGCGAGGGGGTGCTGCCTACTGTGCGCAAGGACCCAGATGGGCGACCGCGCGGGGGCGGCGTGCCCGTTGAACGTGGGCTGCGCTCAGGGACCCGGTCTCCGGCTCGTCCAGCCTCGCCGGGGCTGCGGGGCAGGGGGTTCCTCTGGGGTGTCCGTGGCCCTCAGGAACCAAGTGGCCACGCGGGGCCGCTGCGGCCACGCTCTGTGTGCGAGGAAGCAGTCGGGCTCTCCTACAGCCCCGTCTCGGGGAGCAGGTGGGGCCGGTGACGGTGAACAGCGCACACAGCGCCCCTTCCCCACGCCCAGGCCGACTTCCCGCTGCGCCACCACCTGCTGCGCCCGGGGACTGGGACGGGCGGGCTGGCCCTAGACGCCCCTGCCTCGGCTCCCGGGGCGGCGGGTGAGCTCAGTGGGGGGAAGATGCGCCTCGAGATGCCCTTTGATCTTGGCGACGGGGGCGCAGTTCAGGAGGACCAGGCCGGATGGCAGGGGCCCTGCTCACCTTGTGCCCGCCCCCGGGGCCGCCCTGTTTGGAGGGAGGACACGGGTGGTCCTCTGGTGGCTGTCCTCCGGGGAGGCGTCACGGGGGCCTCTGTCCCCCCCAGAGGGAGCTGAGAAATGCTCACTGGTCCCCGTGGGGCTCTAGGGTCAAAGTTGCAGAAATTAGAGGAGAGACGGGGGGGGGGGGCAGGCCACCGGCGTTCTCCGAGAGCAGACCCTCGCGCTCCTGCTCCCTGCGGGGCCCGGGGGCAACACGGACTTGCCCAGCGGGATGCCCCGTGCATCTGGGGCTTCCCCCGGGGAGGGGACACCCAGGGTGGCCTCGCTGAGTGTGCAGAGCTTGGCATCTGCCCAGCGAGGGGACTCGTCGCCGGCCCGCCCTCCTACACCCCTGCGTTTCCAGTGCGCTCGGCCAGGCCGCGGCTGGCGTGGGTGCGGGGACCCCACCCTTGCTCTGCACTCTGCTGTCGCCGACCTGAAAGTCCCCTCACTGTGGGGCCTGATCTCAGACGTTCCCTGGGAAGTCCTCGGGGCTGGCGGTCCTTCCAAGAGGAAGAAACACCGTGTAGGTCGGGCCCGGCCGCCCGTGAGGGCCGCACGCTACGGGGGCTGGTGGCCACGGTGCTCACCCGGGAGCCCAGCCTGCGCCCTCCCCTCCGCGGAGGCTGGTGGGGGCGCACAGTGGGAAGAAAGAAGCCTGGGGAGGCGGTGGTGGTGTCAGCGGCCGCATCACCACTCCTGTGATGTCATCACGCTGGGAACCGGGGACAGCAGGATCCCCGTGGTGCATGTCCTTACGGGGCCGGGGGCTGGGACGCCGCCCCGATGCCGGCTGCTTCCCACCCTGTCCCCACACGCGGCCCCTCGGGAGGGGTCCCCTCGGGTCGTGGTGGGACACCTGTGTGCAGGGGCCTCTGGGCGGCGGTCCAGGAACCCTCTCCCCCGCAGAATCGTGGGACAACGCTCAGGCTGCAGAGGCGAGGCCGCCTGCTGCTTCTCGAGGTCCCGTTACCCGGGAAGATTCCTTGGGGGCGCTGTGCCCCAGGAGCTCGTGGCAGCATCCGTACTGCGCAGGGTGCAGCGCACACGGCGGAGGAACAGGCTTTGCGGTCACCCGTGCCCCCCGCCTGCTCTAGCAGCTTGTCCCGTGGGGCGCACCCGCCTCCACAGGGGGATGGAGGCTTCGGGGGGACCGTCAGGGCTGAGAGCGGGCTCTGGGTGCAGGGGCCCCCGTGTCCAGCAGGCCAGCCTCAGCCTGGCGGGTTGACGGGCTGGGGACCCCTGGGGCGGGGCTGCTGCTCTGTGGGATTCTCAGGGGGCCCCAAGGTCCCAGGCCCCTGCTGTGTGCACCTGTATGGCCCCCGCCCCGAGGGGAGTGTGCACGGGATGGGGCCCCGCACTTACAGCAGAGTGGAGGAGCGTCGCGGATGTACTTAAAGTCCCTGATGGGCTGCCTGAGTTCATCGGAAGGGAGAGTGGCCTGGTGGGCCTGGCCTAATCAGGGGGCCCCTCGGCCCTCCTCTACAGCTGCTAATGGATTCAGGCTGAGAATGGGGTGAACCTCCTTCTCCTGACGCAGGGCCCAGGGGAAGGGCCCAGGTAAGAGGCAGCAGACGCCCTGCTGCCCCCGGACATCTGCCACCAGGTAGCTCAGAGGGCCTGAGGTCTGGAGGCCCCCGCCCCCCGCCTGGCTGACGCCTCTGCCGCGGCCCTTGGAGGACCCAGCTAGGCCGTGCCCTCACCCTGTGAGGTCAGCGGGGATGCGAATCCCCGGTGCTCGTGGTGGTTCCCAGGAAACCCAGTCTCCTGGAGGGGCAGGTCCTGAGGGAGCCCCCGCCCCCGGCCCCCTCCTGGGCATGGGCCCCAGCCTGCTGGCCCGTCCTTCCTGCAAGGCCTGGCCCGCCCACCCAGGCTGCAGGAGGCCCCGCCGTGGACTCCCCCCTCCGCGCTGTGCGTGCCCGGCTAAGGGGCAGGGGGCCTGGTCAGGCCTTCGCTGTGTGCCCTGGGCTGGGGCTGCGAGCGGACTCCAGCAGCGTCTGTGCCGTCGGACACCTGAGCTGCGGCCTGTGTCCAGAGCCTCCCCGGGGTGTGTCCAGAGGCCCGAACGCCACAGCCCGTGCCCCGCCGCCCCGGCTGTGGAGGGCGAGCGCGGGAGACAGAGGCCAGGCCACGTCCCTGCTGATGCGTTACTGGGCGCCTGCGCCACAGCGTCTCCAGACGCTGCGTGTCCAGGCAAAACCAGGAAGAACGTCCCAGAAAGTCCAGCTCCACGGCTCCCCTGCCCCTTCCCCAGGCCGCCCGGGGTGCCCTGGGGGGCGGGCCAGGGGGCGGGATCAGCACGGAGCACACCTGGGCCAAGTGGCTGTGTGCTCAAGGCGGGCTGGACGCTGGCCGGACGCTGGAGGGTTTCTGCTGCAGCCAGGGGACTCCCAAGAGTCCCCGCCCCTGAGCTCCGGTGTCCCCACTCACGCACAAGGACACGCATGCACTCACGTGTACACACACGCACGTGCATGCACACACATGCACGCTCAGGTTTCCAGGACCCAGGAACTTGTTCCTGGCCTCTCAAGACACTTGGGACCGTCCCCTCAGGGAGCTGTCCCCTCCTCGGACTGCCCCAGGACCACCCACACAGCAAGGAGGGTGTGGTGCCCGGGCCCCCACCACGCTGCTGCTCCCTCGAGTGACCGAGGCACCCTGCCAGGTCTTGGGGACGTGAAGGCAGCTGGAGGGACAGAGGGCCCCACCAGGTCCCTTGTCCCCACCAGAAGAAACCACGCAGGAACCCCCAAGGCCAGGGGCTCCCCACAAAACCCCATGAGTCCCCGAGCCTCCCCGAGCCTCCGCAGGTGCCACGGGCAGGAGCACAGGCCCGGAGCTGCGCTGGACGGAGCGCCCAGTCACCGCGGTGGGAACAGAAGTGGGCTGTGCAGTGAGCTCAGGAGGGACTGGGGTCCCCCCGAGGCTCAGCACGTCCTGGGGACCCTGGTGCCGGGACCGCACTGCAGAGCAAGGCTCCACGCCAACCCTAGAAGTGGCGGTGGACTGGCCCTCGGCTCCCGAGCTGTTTCTGACGGCCTCCCCCATCGCCCACCCCCACCAGGGTCTCCCAGGGTGCCTGCTCACCCCAGACACTTGCCCCCAAGGTCTTGGGTCTGAGACCCCAGCCCAGGCGGTCAGGGGGCTGGTCCTGAGACTGGGGGAGGCCAGGCCCGTGTGCGCGGCGGCAGATGACCACCCCCTGCCCTCCCTGGGACGTTCCACGGGGCCTGCTGCCCAGAGACTGGCGCTCTCCACGGTCAGGGTGATTTTATTTCTAGAAAAGGCGGCAAGCTCCGCTCTGCCCGGCAGCCAGTGCACACAGAAGGAGGTCACAGCGAGGGCCACGGGGAAGTGTCCCTGCACAGGGGTCCCCACATCCCCCGGGCCAGAAGGTGGGCGCCCGGGGGGCTCTGTGTCCGAGGGGAGCCCGGCGGGCAGCAGGGGCGAGGCCCTGGAGCCAGACCGAGAGGGCCGCGGCCCCCGCCCGCCTGCAGGCCCCAGGGAGGGAGAGGCAGGTGCGCCGCGGCTTCAGAAGCCCTTGTCGATGCTGAGGCTGCGGCGGGTGACGTGCTCCAGCTCCCCGGACACGTAGTCGGCCATGCTGATGCGGTAGTGCGCCAGCATCTTCAGCATGAGCCGCAGGTTCAGCCACCACTGCTCCCGGGGCATGCGGTGCCTGCCGCAGGGGGGTCGGGCTCAGGGCCGGGCACTGGGCCCCGACACAACCCTGGAGTGCGGCCTGGAGGGGGCGTCCGGTCCCCTCCCTCCGGGTCCTGCAGTCGGGGGGCACTCGGCCCAGGCTGGCGGGGTGAGGGTGGCACGGGGACGGCCCCGGGGACGGGATGGGGCGGCCGTGCAGGGTCGGGGCAGCCCACCCCCCTTCACAGGCACTCACTCAAAGTCTGTGACCTCCTTGAGCTCGGTGACGGGGCTGAAGGCCACCGCCTTCTTCTGCAGGCCGATCACGCAGGCCGAATCGGGGGCGTTGGCAAACACGCGGCCTGTGGACACAGGGCTTGTTGGCAGCCCCGGACCCCAGGGCCCAGCAGAGGGCAGAGGGCAGAGGGCAAGGTCAGCCCAG